TTAGATTAATCTCGCTTCCACCAAAATCTTCTAACTGAAAACCTCTCCCGTGAGGTCGGAATGCATGCACAACTTTTGAAATTTTCAGTGATCGGCGCCGTGCTTGAGCCACTTCGTCCAAAGGAACATCATGTATCGATGCTATGGAAAGAATTAAACTGGGACAATCTTGAATGACGGAATGGTGAACGCGTTTAACAGCCAGTAGATGTGCAGGACCCCTCAAACTCACTAGAACATTTATCCAACTTATTGCTTGCGGAGTGCTGATCAGGAGAAATGGTAACTACTTCACAGGATGATTTTATCAAAGGGCCCCAAATCAAGGGATTGGAAAACTATGTCTTAGCCGAAAGGATGTAAAGGATATTGTAAATTGCCTAGGAGCCTGAGTGTGCTTTCGATATTCCTGTATTGGATCCATACAGGACTTAACTGGAGACGTTACCAAGTACATCTCACCGATGTCAGCGAGCTCTCAATCATCTGTTTCCAATCTGATGGAGGTGTATAGATCTGGATTATTTGTTAAAGGCCAGCGCTGAGCTTCTCTGGTTTTTCAAGACATGGTTGTGCAGTTTGACACATGACCAATGTACTTACACCGGGTTCACCTACAGTGATGATGATGACGATCCTATGTAGGTGAGCATCAAATCCCTTGTCGACTTTAGTCAGGGCTGCTGTTCAGCTGAACATCTTCTTGGAACAGGATTTTTCTCAAATGCAAACGTAAATTACTCCGATTACGGTTATTTAGTGACCTGTCTTGTATTATATACAACCGTTCGGGCAAAATTATGGGAAATCAACAAAATGGAATCGGAAACGTTCATGCTGATGTGGAAAAAATAAACGAACCATACCATCCCTTCGAGCACTTGGTCATAGAGTTGGTCAATTCTGCGTATACAATAAACGCCTAGGTTTGATGAGGAAGTATTCCACAGGACCATTTCAGTCTTATTTGGAAGGCTGATTGAATTAACGGATTAAATGCGAAATTATCCTAAGTCATCCTGATATCAATCTTTCGTAAAGCCTACGTCCACAGCGAAATCAGCTGTCGGATCCTTTTCTGGTTATTTACATTCGTTGGTCGGCGGAATATAAGCTCCTCGAATAAATGTTGTGAAGAGTGAGAGATAGAGAGAGCTTAAACCTAAGGATACAGGTTAGATACATTTCTGTATAGTGTAGTATCTACTGAGTTAAATACTACCTCAGTATTTGTAAAGTTGGCGCGTAGGCAGTGGAGTACTTGATCCTCAAGACACGAGCTGTCTTCATCCATGAATTGATTGTGACCCTATAAATTAGGCTTAAGTGAAGAAAATCTGCACCCCCGATCCATCGCCCTTACTGCGTGTTTGTGAGGTTAGCTGGATGCGGGAACATTTTTAATTGGGCGTCGTGCCTAAATTGGCCATACTTACATTCACATTCCAGCCTCAGTAACACATTTGTAGCGTATTCAGTGGTGTCCAGTAAATCGCTACATCTCACACTAGTTAACACACAACAAAACAGTCGTTAACTGGCAAGTGTCATGTAGCCCTGGAGACCGACGTCTTGGGGTGAAAAAAATACTTCGGATAGAGAAACCGAATGGGAACTACAAGCATATAATACTCCGAACAAGTAACAAAATAGGCAACCCCAGAGAACACTGGTTGTTGGACGGGCTAGTGCACTAGATTTATACGATTTCTCTCCCATTTCATCTGCTTTAGTTTGCTGAATTTGTTCGTCCTTTTTATCAGAATTAAAGTTCCGTTTCTTTGTGCCCTTCTGTGTAAATACCCCGGAGAGAAAAGTGTATGAAGCGTTCCATCGATATCCCTGTGAGCTGGTATGTCCAACGATGAAAGTAGTTTATCTTTTCCGAATCCATTCTTTAACCTGGTGTGTTGGTGATTAGTTATTGCGTATGACGTACCTGTGTTTCGCATGAGTGTGTAATGCGCCATAGCTTCAACGAAAAGGACTCGTTTGTTTACTGGTTGCCTAAACCCAAGCTGGAAATAGTGCAGTGGTTATTGAGTGAACTTACTGACAAGAGTTCAGTTCAAACCTAATCTCGACATCTCAGCTGCTCCTGACTATGCCAGGGTAACCTGGACTTATTTTAGCCCTTTGCGTGGCTTCCTTCGCGTTGCATGACGACTATGCACCGGAATGCTGGGAAAGTTGAAACATCACTTCTTTTATAAAGCTCAAGGGAGAAGTGTGATGTATTTACATAGAGATCCAAGATTACAGTGTTGTGCAGCGTTTCTTGGTTACTGGCCACAGGTTAGCTTACGAAATCTCCATTGAAAACTATTTATTGGTCGACGAGCATTGAATGATGGCGTTTTTTCGTCGGCCAGTGTCTTCTTGTTTGATGGGTTTACAAGAATTATTCGGCATTGTCCATTAAACAGGTTTCCTGTTCGCCACATGTCGTGATATGGTTTTTTATATTTCGTGTTCAGTGGGCCAGTCAACTTTCAACTTATCAGCCATATATCAAAGGTTTTGGTTTCAGTCGCTACAGATTCAGTCAGCGGGAAGTGGAATAGCGGGGAAGATAAAGCCAAAAGTAGCAAACCACTTTACGAAAACTTTTACCCTTATAATAAATGCCGGTAGAATAGGTGAATTTGAAAATAATTATTGAAGACATTTA